GACTTAATGATGTTTTCTATAGTGTGCTTACCAAGACAGAATAAACTTCTTAGATATCTGAAAATGTTTTAAATAATGATTAAGATAAAAATATATTCTGCTGATCCCTGACCCATGGGACATTCAGAACACCCCATTTCTTGAGGATTCTTGGTGATTAAAACTTTTCTAAATATAAAAGGAAATTAACACCAAAACCACTCTGAGAGCTGTATAACTAACCTTTTGTATCCTTTGTCCATCGTTCATCATCATCAAAGTGAGCATCTCCATTAATCCCCGGCCCCGGTGCATATGCATGAGCCAAAACTTTTCCAGGTCCATCAAAAGCGGCAAAGTCGCCATGTTCTAATAGGAAAAATGTTTTTGTATTGGAAAGATAGGTAATCAGGATCTCTTTTGAGCCTTTTGCAATTAAACAACACCAGGTCAATGGATGCATTTCATGTGTTTTTTGTTTTGTTTACCTCCAACTGCAAAAGAGATCATTATGTCAGCCTCTCCTTGATAAATCCTGGAGAATGTGAGTGGAGTCACCTCCTCCCAGACTTTCAGAGCTTTCTCCATGGCAGAATCAACATCATCTTTTGGTAAATCTTGTGTATAATTCACAATCCTGTATGAGAAAAATTGAAGGAGATAATATTTTCTCCTGTGATACAGTCTTTAAAATGTCAGTATTATGTGAAAATCTCTTTAAACCCTTTACCTGTAAGTAAGGTGAGTTTTCATCCACTTCGGTGTGCCAGGAAAGGTACTGAAATAACCAACGTCAGGAAATCCACACCTGGGCTTATGCATCACCTCCAGGGTGCTGGAGTCCAGCTTCCCCGTCACCTTCAACCCAAGGAACTTCTGCATTTCTTGGATTTTTTTAACAACAGGACCACTATCCTTTCTTCTGACAAATTGTTTCACATCTTTTGCAAGGTTGTAGTAGTTTTCTAGGTATTGCTAATAGAATAAGTATAGGTTTTAGATCACTTGTATGATTTTTAGCTTTAGGTATTTGTAGTAAATTTTTGCAGTTGTTCACTTTTCTCAATCTATTTGAAATATTTTTCTAGTTTGCTGACATAATAAACATCCTATTTCATTTAATTCTTCAATTACAGTCTCCCCTTCACCTTTGCTTTATCTTTGCGATTAAATATCTCTGCAGCTTACTTTGCTATCAAAGCAATGAAAGTGAAGTGGAAAACTGAGATAAATGTTCAGTGTGCTTAAAGGAGAAAAATAAAATAAACCTCTTTGGGTACATTTATTTAATTTCCTCAATTTTCCAATTTCCACTTCTCATAAGGACCTGGCTTAAGAAAAAAGCTGGACAAATCCTTTAGTTTAAACATGACACTACCAATACAAATATTTAGCTAAAATTTCTTTGGATTAAAATACCTAAAGTTCCAAAGCAAGACATGATTCACACACTCTCCACTTACTCATGGGCCTCAAGCCCCAGTGCAGCTACTTCTACGGTGTGTGTGATCTTAAGAAAACACCTAATATTTTTGGCCTTTGTTTCTTCCTACATAAAAGGAGGAGCCCAAATGGTATGATACTGAGACTCTTTCCCCATCCAACACTTTATAACTCTCTGTCCCTGAACTATTCCTATTCAGGAAGCTCAAAACATCCTGCGTGGGTTTTGAGACACACGGAATGGTTTGAGCTTCCTGTGGAAGGCAGAGATGGTTTCCCCACTCGGCCCTGTGAATGAGTGCAATGGCTCTCTCCATAAATTACCTGAACAAAGTCCATGCTGTCGTCCTCGCCCCTTGCAGCTCCATCCAATGGATAGGCTGAGCAAACTGCCACATTAAGTGACAGGAGGATTGGAAGACTCTTCATTTCCACGGGCTTTACTCAGCTCTGCGTTGTCT